AGAGCGTCTATGTCAAATGCACGGGTGTCTGCCTCGCCTCCTCCTTCGTCGTCATAGTGGATGACATTGTCGCGGATGTCCTCCTTCGATGTCATCACACTTGTTTTCTCTTTGTTGCGCCTCTGGTTCATGTATAACGCTGCCATGACTGCAGAAAATAGATGGAATATGAATAGTTATAGTAATAGTCCATGTTTGGGTTGGACAGGTTAGACCAACCCCCCACAACTGCTCTGCAGAACATAACTGAGGTCAGACTCTGTGCTGGGACCATTGAGGTGAATTGATTTGGGTTTTTTCTCCAGCTTCAACCTACGTCAAAGGTAACAGGGCAGGAAAATGAACAACACTATTTAACACTACAGAGTTTAGTGGTAAAGTAAGGTACATTTTGTTACTAACTCTCATAATTACATGTTAGAGAACAGGTTTAACAGGATAAAAGGATTTTGATTTAGACTGGATGGCATTTTTCAGAGAGAGGAGATGTAGAAGACATCTTGAGCCTCTTTTCCTCTAAATGAAAACCTTTTCAAAGACTAAATTTGTCATACGCTCTACTTATATTTCATATGCATTTATATGCGAGGCTAAGATAATTTATCAAGCTGTTACATTGTGCTGAGCAGGAATTCACAGCAACATGCACTGCATTTTTATTAAAAGCATCCAGGACATCTATAGGACGCAAGAGAAGCAAGGAGAGAGAAACAAAGAGGGAAAACAAGTAATGTGGCTGAGACATGGTCACACTGGGCACCGACTGCTCCAGGCTCATGAACCAGGAGCCATTAGAGTCCCTCCTTCCCTCCTCCCCCTGTTGTTTTGGGTATAAAAGGAACCTTAACATCCAAGCATCAAATCATTATCCTGTTAGAATGACTTCTAAAAATACCTGAGTTACTGGACTTGCTATATAGTATACTATAGTAGCAGTATTATTAATATTAAATATACACACATACATGTATGCATACATATACATACATACACATAGACACACACACGTGTATGTATATGTGTATATATTATCTTTGGCCAACAACTAACTGGAACAGTGCTTCAGCCCAGCAGAGGAGACACAGCTTCATCCCCATCCTCTGGGATAAAGTCTGAATATGTAGCTTGTGACGATGACTTACGTACTTAAATGTGGAAATTATGGCTACGTTCCATTAAAACAAAATGTGGACTTTCATGTTCTTCCTCATCCTCACTGTGTTCCTGTTTATTTACATTCTCTAAACTTGATGATTGCTCTCTCACTGCTGTGCTGCTTCTGCCCTGGAGGAAAAAAACGCTAAGAGGGAGTTAATAATACAGTAGAAAATACCAAGAAAGGACACCAGGCTTTTTAAAACCACTGTCACTGTTTTTTTATTCCCAGCTCACTGCTGCTGTTTTTCTTTGTGTCTACTCAAGGCCAAAGGAGTTCACACTTTATAGAACAGTTGAACTGAAATTCCATTGTTGAACGTATGGAATAAGCCAATGTTTCTGTCTGATGGACAGCAGTGTACAGTATGTTATGTTATTCTCCCAAACCCCCATTCCCTTCTTTTTATATTTTCTTTTTCTTTCTTTTCCACAGACATCAGAAGAGGAGCCTCACTGGCCTCAGGAGGCTGCACCTTTTCTTTGCCATGCCATCAGTCAATCCACACACACACAGAACAGAGACACCAAGAAGGGCAGGACGAGAGGGAGAGAAAGATGAATGAAAGGAAAGGACATGTGTCGTAGAGACTTTTACATAATTTAGAAAAACCAAGACCCAACATAGTTTGTCTTTGATGGATTTATTCTAAATATCTTGGTCAAGAGAGCCGTTTGTTATATAGCCCAAACAGTTCACTCTTTCNNNTTCCTTCAGTTTAGACACTAATGTAACATTTTGCTACACACATGAAGGCTGAATAAAGGTAAAAAAACTACTATATTCTTTATTCTTGCTCTCTGTATAAAGCAACATATATCACCTGTTATTTTCTGTGATAATATGTAATGTTGTGTGCTTACCCATTAGCAGAGCTACACAGAGCAGAGCTGCCATCAAAACTCCTGTGCTCACCCCCCCCGGCAGGAAGACGGCCTCGGCTGAACAGGCCATCGTGGAGCCCCTGGTGTCACAGGAACACACTCGGATGGTGAGAGTTGTAGTACTGCTCTGTGCTGGATAACCACTGTCTTCCACCACAATGGGAAAACTGAAGATGTCCTGCAGATGGCGCTGGAAGACTGAGCGCCTGGTCACAATGCCGGCCGTGTTGTCTGGAAGTCAAGAGAAGAGGTGGAGGAAGAATATACAAACAGGTGAAAGGTCTTTATTTAAGGTTGATTTGTTGAAAAAAAAATACAATTAAACCTAGGTGGTAAAGGTTTGGTGACATGATATCTTTAAAACTTTAATTAGAAAACTACTCCGTAGCTCAATTTCCACAGTCAGCAGCTTATTCCAAATGATCTTTTTTCCTTTTACTTACTTCCAAAATCCCGAACAGTGAAGTTTCTGTTGCGGAGCTCCCGAGGGACCTTGAAAAAGAACCGCTGGCCAGCAGGAGGGAGATCTCTGTCCACAGCACTCACTGTCTGGATTACCTGGTCAGGGAACAGACAAAGAGAAAACAATAACTCTGGGAACCCCCAGAGGAAGAGAGAACTTCAAAACGGCCGGCGGAGAAGGTGTCAGAGGGAAAAATGAAACGGTAACTTCAGCTTCGTGCTGCATTTTTAAAACCCAGTCTTATTACACTACATGTCATCATAGTTGGGTAAATACTCTTGGGTTATTATGATAAAAATTAAACAGACACTTATTTTTTTTAAAAGAATTAGCAGAGTGTACCAATGCTGTGGAGCACAGCTCAGCGTACCTGTCCAACCTTGGTGTTTTCACACACAAAAGATTCTGAAGGAACAGCCAGCTCAGGAGGGAACTCATTTACGTCCAGGATGTTGACTATCACAGACACTTTGGAAGACAGCGGAGGGTTACCTGTGGGTCCACACAAAACATTCAAATGTTAATATGAATTTGCTGAAACATGCTTGGTTTAAAGTAGGTGTAGTTTGAAGAGTACGTTGCCACTGGCGATACTCACGAAGGAGTGTATTCATTTTCTAACATAATCCTTTTTAGTGTAATGAAGCCAGTGTGGCCTTGTGATGGACCAGAAAACTAACCCTGGGAAAGCTAGTCAGTCAAAGAATGAATAATTAAAGTTTGTTCTATAATCTGTGAATGTTGTTAATAATACTGCTTTAAAGAAAATTATTTATTACTATAAACTAAGTCTGATGAATTACTGTTGTAGCTCTCACTTCGGCCACTGGATGGAGTTAAACCCCAGCTAAACTCTGTCTTTGCGTCCCTGAATCTGTATTGTGTACAGGTCAACTGCGTGTCTTTATATTCTGATTATTCTATTATTTTAACGGCCAGTAAAACATAATAAGCTATCGATTCAGCTGCAGGAGAAATGATGATGACAGCGTTATGTTTTAAACCACACTCTCAGCCTGCAGTAGTATTAAGTCCTCAGCTGGTTATTTTATCTGACTCCAACTCTTCATTTTTATAAAGTGTGCAGTCATTAATCTCAATATTTCCCCATTTCGTTTCTTCACAGTTCCGTCAAGGCTGAAGTATTATCCTGTCATTTTCTTTCTGCCGTGTGGAGACCAACAGAAGCAGCAGGTAGAGAACATTCAGGGTAAAAAGTTTTTTGTGAAATTGAAGTTGTGTAAAACTATCTTAATTTTTCACGGCTACATGAAGCAGGATGTTTGTTTAGTAGCAATATTGTTGACCTGTGAATGTACCATTCCACAGAGTACTGTATATCAGATCTATGCGACTGAGGAAAACCCTGGTGTTTTATATGCAGTTCCTTGCTGTCGTCAAATACTTACTGACTTTTGTTCCTTGCTGTCGTCAAATACTTACTGACTTTTGTTGCCACCACTGTGATGGTGTGCTGAGCAGCTGTCTCTCTGTCCAGGTATTCATTAGTAAAAATGGTTCCTTCTACAGTGTCGATGTCAAAACAGCTGTCGGACTCTGAGTTCCACCGCAGTGAATACCTGCAGAGATCAGGACAGTGTGGAACCGATCAGGACAGTGTGGAACCGATGAGGAGTGAGAACCAGGAGCAAAGCTCTATGTGTAAACTCTTGTATTTCTAAACTTCCCAAGTCTGAAAACAGTAGTCAGTAGTTGGGATATTCTCTAGGGTACTGGATTACAGTAAATGGTTTGACCCACACTACAACAGGGCTAAACTTAAATCTCCTGCTCAGATCATATTTATTTGTGGTGTCGGCCAGTCTGGTATTGTTGGCATCGGGTCCTCAAATTAATAAGTGATTGCTACCTTACAGCGCTGCTGCTGACATCCAGGTCCTGGGCGGTGACTGAGCCAATGATGGTGCCAGGAAGGGTGTCCTCGAACACATCCATGTAGTAGGAGGCCTTGGTGAAGACAGGGGGTTCCTCCAGGTCCAGGACGCTCACCTTGACTGTCGCCGAGTCCTTGAAGGGACCCAGGTGAAGGAAACGAGGGTCCAGCTGTGCGTTGGAGGCCTCCACCTTAAATGAGTACGACTTTTTGGTTTCATAGTCAAGAGTCTGCAGAAAAAGAGAGAAACAACAAACACAGAAAGAAAGACACTGTAAGAAATAAAATAAAATAATAAAAACATACTGAAAATAAAAAGGAAAAATGATAAGGAAAAATTGATTTGAATGTAGGTATTTGATAACTTCACAGTAGATTAAAGATTTTGTCAAATATATTGTCCCTAAAATATTTGTCAGCTGTTCTGTTACTTCTGTTGCTGAAGAGTGTCCACCTGTTTCAGTACTAAAACCCCTTCTTTACTCTGGCGCTCTGAGATGATGTCAAACACTTTGGCCTCATCGTCTGGAACAAGGACGTAGTCCATGTCTGCGTTGATGCCAGAA